ATGTTCTGTACTGTGACCAAGTAAAGAATAGCTACTCATGCAGCCTCTTTAAGGACTGATGCAAGCGTACCTTAAGATTCCATTTTAAAGTTTCGGAAAAGTATAAATATTTGCATTCAAGAATGAAGGAAATCTGGCACTTGTACTCAGGAACCACAGTAGTTAGTTGATTTCTTGCAACTATAGTCTCTTTTACTGCTCGGAGCTGACTTGCAAAAACTCTAATACGATATTCCTTTGGAGTTCAAATACTTGGTACCAGCTAAATTCTAGGATGCTGTTAAGCCTTAATAAAAATGAATTTGGGGGTTCATAAATCTGATGTGTACTCAAAATATTTTTATCAAGTGATGGTGAAAGATGCTTCTTTTCTAACCAGCCTATTTTCATTGTAAAATGGGTTTCAAGATTTTTCTGCAAGGTTAAGATATTTCCTGATTATTCAGTCTTGCCATACTTATACAGAAACACCCTGCAGTATTATTTTGGAAGGTTTTCAGACTTGAGACTTTTGATGAATTTGTCTTTGTGAAGATTTTGCACTTGTGTCTGTGTTTTTAACAGCTGTCATGGAGGAGTTGGTAGAGGATGACATCTGTATTTTGAACCATGAAAAAGCAGACAACGCTCATAAGAGAGACGGGGAGATTCCTGTTTCATCTTACAGTGGAGATGAGTCTGTTGCCTCACACTTTGCACTTGTCACTGCATATGAAGATATCAAGAAACGACTAAAGGAGACGGAGAAGGAGAACTACTTCTTAAAAAAAAGAGTGAGAATTCTAGAAGAGAAGGTAAGAAAAAAGTCAATTTACCAGCTTCTGGTAGCAGCTACTTTTTTGCCCCTGGCTGGATGGCGGAGCAGATGGTTAAGTGTTTAAAATATGTACTTAAAATAATTTCCGAGTTAAAAAGTTTTGGTAAATTGGTTTATTTAAGTGAAACACAGTTTGTTCCTCTGGTACTCTAGTCAAGTCATACTGGGATTTTTGATTCTTACTGGGCATGTATGTGATGCAATGCAGTAGTGCCCTGCAGGGACACTAGCTTTGATTCAGAAAGACGTTGCATTGGATCGTTACTGTATTTCATCTACCTCTTCATGGTGTTTATTAACTTAGGCATATGTGACTTAGTATTGTTGAATAGTGAGGTGCCAAGTCTATAAACAGTCAGAATCCAGGAATTGTCTATCAGAAGAATCTCTTGGGCTCAGCATACCAAAATGATAAGGAAAAATTGGTTGTTAAGAATGTCTGGCTAGGTCTAGCTAATAGCAGTCTCAAACATGAAGGACAAAGTTGCAATGCTTAACATAGAGGTGTTGGCTGGCTATTTTTTGATGCAGTCATTCTAAAACGTAAAGGAATCTAGAAATTTATTTTATATGCAGTTTCTCATGGCCTTAGTCTAGTGAAGTCCGTTAAAGCTAAAAATGGACCGTGATGCAGGCTTTTCTGCCCGAGTAAAGAATGCTATTGCTAAACGTATATCCATTGTTCAGTAGTGAGTGTCTTTGTTCTGCAGAAGGTCTTGACTCTGATAGATTGCTTTCTTATTAATATAAAATGGAAAGATAGATCCTACAGCTAGAGCTGAGACATTTATTAGGACTTAGTCCTAAGTATGTGCTACTGACTCTTAAAAGCTTACAAAGAATTTATTATTTTATGGCATTGGAATGAAGAGCTTGAGTCACACTCGGTACAATTTTGAAACACTTACTCAGGAATTCTTGGTGACTAGTTTGACAGGATTGGCGTTGTGTCAAAAGGCAAAACTTTCTCAGCACTTTCTTTATATAAGGTCCTGTGGGGGTGATGGGGATAGAAATAGAGCTCTAGACTGAATATTCTCTGAACCATGCTGAGTGTACCATCTTTTACGTGGTTACTCAAAATCACAGTGAACAGGACTCGATGACCTTGACAATCCCTTTTAGTCTTGTGGCTTTTGGTTTGGCCTGGTTCAGCTTAATTGTCTTGAAGATGATACTTTGTTTTCCATAGAGAAAACTTTTTTATTTTAGTATGTGAATACCATAAAAATGTTTCTATGAGAAAGGGGCATTGAGAAGGCCTAGACTGTTAAGTAATAGAACTGACTTTCAGTCTTTGTTAATGGCTAGCATACCTGTATGATAAAAAATACATGGGGAGTTACCCCTAATGAGTTTTAAATTTCAAAGTGTATGGAAACTTCCAGAAAGTTTGGTAAGGCTTATGTTCTATCTGAATGGCTTTATTCGGGGGAGGAAAATGTAAAGGGCAAAACTTAAAATGAGTAGGACACATACTTTGTGGGTCAATACAAAAAGCAAAGGGCAGAAGCTTCCTATCTTTATGGCTTGCTTTCCCATACTTTCTTTTGAGTGAGCACCTAAAAGAGGAGGTATTTAAGGTAGATACATAACTGTCACCTCTTTCATTTTTGTAAAATTTTTTTTGTGTGGCTCTTAATTTTTAAGAAAATATATATATACATCTGTTGCAAATACCGACATTAGGTACACTGAATGTGTTTAAATGCCTCAATAATTTAAAGCAAGTGTGCAGCTTAAATAGAATGACAAGGATAATGCAATACTTAGTCAAAACAAGAACTTTCTGTATGGACAGGTGTAATTTGATTAAGACTTCTCTTCTTGCTGTCTTATTAAAAATACTGAATATGTTTTAACTCTGCTCCCCTCTTTCTGACAGTCTAGTTGGTAGTGTTTATTCCCCCTTGCTTGTCTCTTACCTTAGCGGGCAATGAGATAGTGGTGACCTGGGAGTTAATAGTATTTGTAAAATAATTCTGCTTTGGCTTTTCTCGCATAAATACACTGAAAAAAATCTTTGTTTAAATTATGAGTCATTAAAAAAATGATGTTCATTTTCCTCTTAATTTTCTATATGTTGTGTCTTTATATGCTTAAAACTCTTTTTCCAAAAAGTAGTTTGTGCATCTTCAGAGCCTGGAAAAAATACGATTAAGGGGTTGTCAGTGTGAGTAATCATGACTTATGGATGGTTTTTAAATACTCGTAGCAGTAAACTAGCAAGCATTAAGTATGGTTAGAGATTGCAGAATTTGTAGATGGCCTTTGTTGCACTTTTGTAAAAAATTTTGGTCCATATCAATGTATTTGATTTATTTTTCTAAACTGAAAAAAACCGCTATTAGTTTAATGTTGCAGACTGTACTGTTGCACTTTTTAAATTTTGCAGTTCTCAATATAACATACAAAACTTATTATTTCTCATGTTTGTTAAATGTTTAGCTGCTGGGCTCCCGACTGGAAGAGGAATGCAGTTCAGCTGGACGTGAACAAGTGAATAAGGCATACCAGGCTTATCGAGAGGCCTGCATTGACCGAGATAATCTGAAAAGCAAACTGGATAAAATGGTATGCCTTTTTAAGTAATGATTTAAGTGCATGTTCTGTAAGTACTGCATAGTTAGTAAATGTTTACTGTAGAATGAATTTTATTTGCTGAAGATCTGTGGTGTTTGTTTTATTACTTTTTTAGGTTTTTAAAGGTTATGGCAATACTTTATGTAGGAATAACAATTTTAAGTATCTCAATTTTATTACTGGGCTAGGCTAATGCTAAAAAAAAATCAAAGCAATCGTTTTCTTGTTTTGTTTAAAAAAAAAAAAAGTTGAATTATCAGATGTGATAGAAAAAAGCTTCACAAATGGCTTCCCCCCCAAAAAAAATAGATGAAAGAAAGTGCGGAATCCTTGAAAACCTTGAATGAACAGTTGCAGTCTAAAGAAGTAGAGCTGTTACAACTAAGAACTGAAGTGGAAACTCAACAAGGTATGCATCTGGTTACTTCATCTTTATGTATGTTGACTAGTCTTAGTGGTTATATTATGATCTCAGGGCATGAAGAGGTTTAACCCTATATAGTGGCTAATTAAGAGAGGAGTATACTTCAGTGAGATACCTTGAGCTTGTATATGTGTTCATTCTTGGAAATGGTGACAGGCATGTTTTATTATCATAGGCGAGGAGCTCCATGGTAGAGATCTGAGGCTGTTACGTTCTTCCACTGTAGGTTATTTAATAATTTGAGAAATGTGCATAACCTGACAGTTTAATAGGCTAGTCATGTACATCTCTGGACACCACCACTTTTTCCTCAGAGTGGGGCAGGGGCACACTTGTTCAAGTATCAAACACCATCCAGTTGCTACCACTTTCTCTGGTACTTGCAGATGATCTGGTATATTGCTTTGTTTCACTGTTGGGCTATGACAGGTACAAGAGGATGTTGTATAGCAATAGCTGCAGTCAACAACAGCTATTTAAAGGGCTGGGGGGTGAGGAAAGGTAGAAAGATGGTAGTTGTAGAGAGCCTGGTAGAAAGAGGGAAGAGAAACAAACAGTATACCCAGGCAATTCCAAAAGCCCAAATCCAGCTTCTGTTACTGCCATTGTAAAGAGTGCTGTGTAGATGATAGGTATGTAAAATAAAACACCATGGAAGAAAAAAATAATCTTTATTACTGTCCTGTTACAAGAAAAGAGAAGAAGAAAATGCCACCTATGTAAAGTTAGAGATAAGGACTGGACTTCAGATTCTGTACAAATGCAGTCATTTGAAGGGTGCTTCTAAGTATTGCTGTGCTTGATTGGGTTACTTTCCAAGAGGACCTCAAGCATGTAATGCACTACTTCAATTGCACAAGTTTTTAACGCTAGAAGAACAAACCCCATGTAGTAGTAGTAGTATCATCGTTGAGGACATCGTGGTTTAAGGAGGCAAGAAGTGCAGAGTTTATAAAGAGAGCTCTGAAAATGTGGTGATTTCAAGCCTTATTTAGTAATCAAGTTTACTTCTAAGTGGGCTCTGAGTACCTTGTTTAGGAAAAATCAGAGTAGCTTAAGCTTGTTTAAATTGTTAGATTTGGAAGTGAGTGTACCATGCAGTTAAAGACTTGGGGGTTTTCTTCCTGTCATGTTCTTCCTTTTCTTGCTGTCTAACTAGCATCCTACTACTGATTTGATGCGAGGATCGTCTTAGGTCGCTTCTTAATAGCGACAAACCACACGTAGTAGTAGTGTGACTGTGTGAATTTGTTCTGTGTAATAAGAAGACTTGTGTAACTTCTAGGCTTTACCCTTTTGTTTTGATTGTATCTTTTGTAGCTCTGTTTGGAACTTCTTGATATTAAACTTGGGAAAAACTTAGGGTAAATTATGTAATGATATAAATCTGAGGGGGGGGAAAGGCTCATGTCTTCAAAGCATGTAAGAAGTATGCAAGTTGGTGTATATATCATGTGTGTTTGCCATTAACAGATTTTTGTATTTCCAGTGCCTTTTTATGCTGTTACTTCCTTTTTCTTTATGTAAAATCTCCAATGCATTCTTGGAAAGTAGGGCTCTGTACTTTAAACTCGGAAAATAGACTACTCTGCCAACAACTCTACCGGTGTTACCATTTCTGTGTTGTCATAGTCTGCAGTGTTTTCAGAATGTACAGGATAACGTTTTTGTACGGCATGGGCTGGATGAGGTGAAACCTTACATACTGAGTTACATTTCTTGAACTGAGACTGAAATTTGATTGTCTTGCTTGTCGTCTTACAGTGATGAAAAATCTGAATTGTACTCAGTCCAGCTGGGAAATAGAGAAGCTGAACAGTGACCTGAAAGTGCATAGTCTGGAACAGGATCTAGAAAACCTCAAGCAAGAGTGCAACAGTCTCAGAAAGGAGTTGCAAAAATCCAAGCAGAAGGTACCTTTATTTTTAAGGAATTTCTGTATTAATAGATGTTTTATTAAATAGTGTTATAGCATTATTTTAAATCCCTTCTGCAAGCAAAATAAAGGGTAAACAAAGAGATAAAAAGTATGTAATTGAGTGAAAGATTAACATCCCAGTAAAATTAACCTTAAATTTTCTCATAAACTGGCTTGTTTCTTGGAAATAGTACACTTACATAGGTAAGATTTCCCAGCCATTGCCCATATAATAACAGAAAATAAAGCTTTACAGTTTTTTTATAAGTAGCCGATCAGATCAAAGTGTTCTATGCTGGTATTTGTTTTGGGCTGGACTTCTTAGAAAGTTTGGGCAAAAACTGGTTTGGTTTTGGGGGTTTTTTTGTTTGTTTGTTTTTCTTTTAAAACAATAAAATGCTTATGTTAAAAGATAACATGAACTTTGTTTAAGGAGCTCTAGCGCTTTTCTTTAGGGTAGTTGCATGAAGCTTGTCAGGAAAGTGGATTTTTGTAACAAGGTTTCCAGAATCTTGCTATAGTCTGGGGCAAGTATCTGTTGTGAGGGACTCATTGTGTAATGTAGATGTGGTTAGGATCTCAAAAAGGAAATTAAGATAGCTTAACGGTAATAAAATGCATTAAGTTTAAAAAAAACTATGTCTAGTGCATGCTTACTGCTTTACATGATAAAAGGTACAGTGGCAGTCTCTAGGACTCTACAGTCACATTGAAGCTACACAATAAATTTAAAAGATTTAAATGTGACTGAAGAGGCAGACTATTTTAGGTTCCTTGTGGTCACTAATAATTATGATTATGTAATCTCGAGTCACATAATATTTGAGTGAGCCAATATTCAGGGTATGCTTCTATGTAAGACTCGCAGATAGAATCCTTGCATGGCCATCATCCTGCCTTCAAACAGGATTTGGTTTAATTTGGAAGTGTTTCTTTGGCTCTTTTTCTTATGGGCACATTTACATTACTACAGAAACGTACTTTTGAAGCAAATCTCCTAATCACCGGTGCCTACTGCGCCTTGCATTACGGAGCGTTCAGGAGTATGGGAACTGGATTCCTTTTGGATGAAACGAAGAAGATGCACCCCAACCTCTCCTGGGCATTCAGGGACCAGACTAGAGCTAGCCTGAAGTCAAGTCCTTCCCCCCGCTGCCCTCAAAGCACATACAGTTGGGGTGTTGGGTTCTCAGCGCTGCAAGTGTCTCTGCAGATCTGCTGCGGCCATGCCACACTCCTAGCTTACACGGACAGGCTTACGTGCACCGATTGTCTTGTCTCAGGTTTAGTCTGTCTTTTTTCCACTAGGTGGGGATAAAGCACGTTACCTGGAAGGCACGTGAGGTGGTTTGTGAACTTCAGTTACTGTTGGTTGTTGTTTTCACTCGTGTCTGGAATTCTTTTAGGTGTTTTCAGTAACTTGTAAATTCTGAAGGCATACTGTAACTTGTATGCAGTCCTGGTGTCTTCAAGTAGCTCTATAGAATAGAGTAACAGCTATATAAACAATTGAAGATTGCAGATTGTATTGTGAGAGTGAATGTTGCTAGAAAGAACAGACTAAAATAGCAGTTGTAAGGAATGCTAGACATGACGCTGTTTAAATAATGCTTATGCCAGCAGCTTTTGTTGCAAAGAACAAATATAAGGAACAGCCCTTTTTTTGCCCTCCCTTCCCCCCTTTTTTTTTTTCATATAATTTCCTCTTGGTCCTTGTAACCACTTAATATAGGAAATAAAAAGGTACAAGTTTTCAAATGTGGGGTAATACAATGCAACTTTTTTTTTTTTAACTATGAAATTGAATCTCTGATGGGTGGTGGTGGGAAAGTCTTCGGGAGGGGGGAAAATTGTCAGGTGAAGTACAGGGAAATGTGATCAATGGGCAATGACAAGTCAGCATTGTTTCAAATCCAGCTGGTATTTTTGTTATTACTGTTTTTAATTACATTAGTTAGCATTTTCAGATGTTTTTCTACCTTAGGCAAGTATACTTTCTTTTTTTTTTTCTGTTTTTAGATATTCTTATTCGGGTTTTGCATTGTAGTTGTTGCAGTCTATACATTATATTGACAAGTTGCTTGAAATGTATGTAGGCTATCATGAAGCCACAGTAACAGGTATCAAATTCGTAACAGCTTTGGCTAGAGGGAACGGTAGTAGGAAGGGAACATGAAGAGAAGGGCTATGAACGGGAACTCATCACAGGTGAGGGTCTAATGGAAACATGACTAATGAAGTGAGCCCAACGTTTGATTTGTTAAACAGTCCTGTGAATTTCAGTGAGGCTGCTTGTATGCACAATTTCAAAGCAGTCTTTCAGACTCAAGGGATAAATTATGTTTTATCATAAAAGTAACTTGTGGAAGTAAATCTATACCGAAACAGTTTGCTTTAATTTAAAGGTCTTTATATACTGGGACAGGGAAAGAACAAGAGAAGACTGATTACTCTTTTTGTTTGTTTGTTTGTTTTCATGGAACTCAAAAGCTTTTCTCAATTTTTGCTTTTCAAAGAATCACAAATTCTGAGAGCTCAGCTGTTTGTTTGGTTTTTTTAAAAAAAAAAAGAGAGAGTATGGTGGTGGCTGAGCAATGCTTTCATATAAGTAGGTAGTTTAAGCATTTTTAAGTGGAATTTCTTAGTAGAAGTCTTTATGTCCATTTTGAAAACCACTGCAGCCAACAGAAATGAAAACTACTTTACTTCTGAATTTCAATATTAGCGAAGTTGTAGTTTCACTGCAGTATTTTCAGATAGAATATCTGAAATCATACGTTCATTCCTTCTCTATCGTCCCCTCATTCTGTTATGCAGGACCAGGCTCAAGATGAAAATCCATTAAATGGAGACCTCCTTCGAAGGCAAGACATCCAGAGGTATGAAAATCAAGTGGCTTTCATGTTTTATTTTTAGTTTACTGAGGGACAGTTACTCGAACAAGTAAATATTCTTGCAGCCTGTTCAAATGTGTTGTTTCAAATTACACAATCTAATTTCAAGTCTAGGTATACTGATTTAGCAAGATCATTGTAATTTTTTTTCTTTGTTATGTTGGTAGTCCAGGATGATAAGAAAACAGTCTTGATTGTTGTACAGAAAATGAAAGTTAAATTATCTTGGGTTTAAAAATCAACTTTTTAATAATTAGTTGACTTGAGGAGGTGGTAGATAAATTTTCAAGCCTCATCCCAGCTATAGAATATCTTCATTCTGCGTATGGGGAGGTTTCTGTGTTCGCATAGGTGATGGCTTCAAATCTCTTGCTTAGTATTGGAACATACATTCTTACTTAGTGCAGTGCAATAATATTTCTACTAGAAGACATTTTCAAGGATTTTTTTTTTTTAAATATTGAGGAGCCATTGTGTGACCTATTCAAAGAGAAATAACAGTTCTCCAGAAAAAAAGCTAAAATATTGGAAAGCATTTGTTCTCATTTTGCAGCCATTCAAATAATAATTGTGCTTATGATATAAACTCCTATATTATCCTGTCTTGAGTATGTGTGCCATAGTAGAAAGTGTGTATATATATCCTTTAATGCTTTATGCAAAAGAACAATTCATGAATGCATGAAAGTTCCCAAATAACGTCTCTTGCAGAAACGAAATACTAACTGCATCTCTTATAGCCAGTTGTGCCTGTTGGTGTACTTACACGATTTTCCACAAGAGGGAAGAGTGGTCCTTCATAATGACAGATGGTTTAGTGTAATACCTTGTTGCTTACTTGGTACTGAAGAGATGGGAAAGGAAACCAGTCACTGAAAGAGAATAGTATAGATATTTCTTTTCATGTGTTCTCTGGTGTAATGATGATGATATTGTACGCACTATACGCAAATTACACTTTCACCTTTCACCTCGACTGGATAGCTAGCTAGCTAACACTTTTTTTTCTTGTGGTTTCTGACTATGAAGATCCAGCAGTCTTACACGCCTGAAAAAAGGTGTTATCTCAAGGTATAGCAGTTATCTCTTTGATCTTCCAGAGCACATTTATTCCACAAATAGTGACATTCAGGTGGCAACCATCTGAATTAGCATATGTACAGTATAGTGTTTATTGTAATATAACATAAATAATGAATGTGTAATGTGTACTGAATATGGAAGCCCATCCAAAAATCTGTGGAAAAACACCTGGAAAAACCTCCTACGCGAAACATTTGTTGTAGCAAGCAATCCTGCTGTTTATGGGAGACGGAGGCATTTGCAGTTAGTTAACTTTTTGGAAAGTAGTTGTTTCACATGTGTCAGCAGCCTGCAAATCTGACTTTAAATTCTTGGTTTGCAAATCTACTTTGCCGTAGATTTAGATAGGCTATCATATTCAAGGTTTATATTACATGTTAGAAGGCTGTAGAAGATAAACTTCCAAGCACATGGAATCCTTGGTTTTCAGCTGCATATTCCTTGAAAATTAGGCTTTGCAATAGGATTGTAGGTCAGTATCCACAAAAACAATTAAAATATGTTGCGTGCGATTTAAGTGGAATTCTGGTACCTGCATCCCTTTGCAAGATGCTTTTAAAAGCACTAAATGACGGTTATAAAATTTATCTAAGCACATTTCTTCTGGTTGGTTGCAGACACTGAGCTGTTCTTATATTTACCATTTCTATATTAAATATTGGACAGTTCTGGTTTGATGTAACTAAAGTTTGTTTGATCTTCTTTCTGAGACCAAAACACATGAATTAATGAAGTGTGGTTGCCACATCAACTTAATTTTAAAACCGTCATCTCTTAAAAGTTCAAAGAGCCAATTGGATTCTGCAGTCAAAAGGCCACAGGTTTAGCTGAACTTCTTGAAATATCGGTTCTGAAAATTGTAACTTTCTATCTATCAGAATTGCTGATACCTAATACATTACCTATTAAACTATCAGCTTCCTCTGTTCTTTAACAGAGTTTTTGAATCTGAATATTTGTATTCTGGGGAAATATTTCTGTGCATAGAAGGATACTTAATTTCTTTGTTTTAAAGGAACTCTTTTAGCGTTAACTTGCAGAACAGAATAATAGCTGTTTCTCAGAGTGCTTTTGAACACGTTCATGCCTGATAAATTTCATGCAGGAGTGATCCTAAATTGCTGTTTTAGAGGGATAGAAATCTGTATATATGCATGTTTGAAAATACAGTTGTTACATAGCTTAATAGTTCTTAATCATCTCAACAATAGTTTGAGGTACTGAACTGTTTTCAAATAAACGTCTCTTAGGTGAATATAGTGAGGAAGAAAGAAATATTCTGAAAAATCTCATCCATGATGTTTGTCCTCAATAAATGTGCTTTGGTAGAATGTTAAGCATTAAAAAAACGTTAAATCATTGATTTCATGTTTAAGATGTAGTAACTGCATCCTTATGTCGTTGAACCCTAAGTTAATTATTAATCAACATAAATGTGGTGTTCAGTGAGCCTTTGCTCGAAACGTTACCAAGAAACATACGGTGAACCTGACTTTTCTGATTTTTTGTTCTTGATTTTTTTCTTACCAGCTAATAACCTGAAACTTCAATGTCGGAACAGTGCTGCTGTTGCTAAATACGTTTCTCATATTATGCTGTCTTATCAGAGAATGAATTGGGTCACTATTTTTTACACTGTCTGATAAGGCAGTGTATTAAACTAGATTACTTGAACATGAAACAGTATGTTTTATATTTTAGTTTGGTCTGTGTGTGGGTGCTCAGTTTGCATCTTGGGTATCTCGTCTGAATTCATTGCAGCGAAGCGAATGGTGTAAAGACCCAAATACTGATTTTGATTGAATATTTAAAATTATGATCAATTAACGTTACTAGGATCATAACATGATGGGGTGTGTGTGGTCAGTTATCAGAAGCCATTCAAAGTTAATACTCTACCTGTTTGCAGTCTAGTGTCCATTTAATTCTTTTTTTTTAAGTATTCCTTTGAGATTACTAATTTTATGGGAAGATAGTTAGTTTCAAATAATGAAATTGGAGAATATGCTTCGTATTTCTTTCCATTTGGGGAACTTGAAATTATTGGTGTCATCTAGTATGTTAATATGTAATACATTATATATTGTAATATGAAAGAGTCAAATAAAATATACGAAGGTCCATCAGTTTAAGATAATTATCACTACTGCTCAATTCATTTTGAATTATGGTATTCTAGCAAAATTTGCAGTGTATGTCAGGCAAAAATGATGTATTAACAGTTACACTTGATAAGCCTGTTAGTAGGCACGAGGGTGCTTTAGAGGTGGCAAGTATTTAACTTTTTAAAAATTTCTGTTTTGAAAGTGTGCAACAGGCATATTGGGAGCTGAAGAGAGAAATGTCTAATTTGCATCTAGTGACTGACGTACAAGCCGAGGTTCTACGAAAACTGAAAACAAACCCAACAGCGACCACGAAAGGCAAGTCAGTGTTTGCAGTAACAGACTTTACAAACACAAACCGTTGATTCAAGCTGTACCATTTGAAAAAGAAACTAGCTATCATATCTTATCAGAATCTCATCAATTGAAGTTGATAAGCTAGACTATATTATGGTTCCAGCCTACCCATTTTCTGCTTTTGCTTCTGTCTCATACTGGTCAACTTCACACATAAAGGTGTTGCTGATGTGTTTTTTCTTCAGTACTGTATTCTGTTCCCCTTGTGGCTTTTTTCTCAGTCAAGTGTTGCTTATGTGCACAAGGCTGAGGTGTTAAGTTTACTTGTATTTGACCTTTTACCACAACTACTTCATATTAGGGGAGGAAAAAATCTTTTTGCAAATGCAGTCTTATTTTCCCAGTATAGGATATATAAAGTATTAATTTGGCAAGATTTTAAATTCAGACTTTAATAGACTGAAATTCCCTTATGGTTGCATATTTCTTTATGTTTGCGTTCAGAAAAGTTGTCTTTTCTAGCAAAATGCTGTGCAAGATGACATTTTCTGAATGTCAAAATACTGGGGCTGCAAAACTGCCTTATTTCTTATTTGCAAATAATGAAGGGGAAAATAATTTCCTCATAAGATACGTACAACTTCTGTGAGCAGTTCATCAGATGGTTCTTCTATTTCATACGTATGTTTCTCTCAAGCCAAATGCTTTACAAGAAAGCGTTCTTGCTCTGGTGGGGCCAGGCTACCAGTCTGACTGTTTATCGCAGTGTTTATTTCCTTTGCTTTCCGCTCACTTCAGTTGTGGCGTTCACTGTGTTCAGCATACGGAAGATGCCGGTGAAAGACGGTGAACTTGGTTACAATATATTGGTGACAGTCTCTGATGGCCCTGTCCCTTAGAGATTGAGACATTTTGTTTCTGAACAGCGTTGATTGGCTCGGGGAGGTAACGATAGGATTCACCTCCAGGTCAATCACTGCCTTTGTCTGTGGCCAGCAGTGATGCACCATCGCTCTCTGGCACTTGGCCGATAATCTACCGACACATTTTGTAGACTCGGTCAAATTGTTACCAGGCGAGTCCGTGTTCCTACAGTTCTAAGACACATTTGTCAAATAACTTCAGCAGAGAAACTGGGAAGTGAATGAATTTTTAACCCTGAAGTCTGACGAGGTTTGATGAGGTCATGGAGTATCTTTCTGTCCTTATTATTACTTTGGAGTTACCTGTCTTGCCGCTACACAAGTACTAATTTTTTTCTTTTCCTACCTGGTGAACAGTCGGATTTTCTGAGGTTGCTAATGCAGTTATACATCCACAGCTATAAAAGACATGATTGATTGATTGGGAAACAGTGGATTTTTGTCTTTTGCTCTGTAGGCTTTTTTCAGTAATTTTTCAGAAGTATGTGAGAGTG